TGCTGGATCAGGTACTGACCAGGAACCTGAACCAGGTATCCAAACAGGGTGGAGCCCCTTCAGAATACCCCGTGGTGCTTCCCCCGTGCAGTGTTTAGGACAGATCGTGATTTCAGAGACCTGCCACCTGTACACCAACAGTGGGCCCTATTTCTTTGTGGCGCACTGCGCTGTGATCCTGGACCTGACATTAATTCCCGTTCACAGGTAACATTTCCGGCAAGTGGGATGTTCATCGATTTTGGGCCTCTCTACGTAAACCTAGCCTTAGACTAATTTCTGAAGTGGTAGCCAAACAGGGAGACAAAGGCGGCCGGGAAATGGTGCCCAACACATTACTAATGTGAATGTGTCCTTACAGGTGCTCACAAACATCACTTTCCTCAATAGACTATAAGCCTAAACAGGTGAAAGTTGTCTTGTGTGTGTGTGTGTACACAGACATACAATACAACATTGATTTTGGCAGTTGTACAAGATATCAGGTTAAAAAATAAATAATATTACTCTGAACATTTGTTAAACTTTATTTGGCTGCTCCTACTGCTAGCTACCTCGTGGCAATGGTTTTAATAATGGTGTAAATGTGTCTGCGATAGCTTTGACTCAGAGGTTAGCACGCTGTGCTACAAACCTAGTGTTCCAAGTTCGATACCCAGCCAGGGCTAACATCAGTGAAGATTGATAATTGAGCTGGTCCAGGTGGTGTGAAGAATAGTAAAACAAAAATGCCAGTGACCCAGACGGTGTGAGTAGGCTTTCATCCAGCAGTGGATTGACAACATTTCGTAAATTGTTATCATTATTCACTATCCTCATAACATCTGCACTGAGGCCCCGGATGACTAGCCAATGTCTTTTTTGACTAGTGTTATATTGGCAAACAAAGGTGGCTGGAAAAAAAAACCATATTCGTGGAATAATACTATAAATGTAATTAATGATTTTTTTAAAATAAAAAGCAAACTGCTTTAAATTTTATTTGTACGATTCAAACGGTTTTACCAAATAGCATACTGATAAGATTAATGAGACATTCAAAGGAACAATATCTGATAATTAAATGACTAATGCATAGACTGACAAATGCATGAACAGCATTAACTCGAATAATAATGTGAAGCATATGAAAGCAATGCATGTTAACATTGATTAATGTTGCATTTGACGCATACAATTTAGTTAATAACACGAGTGAATTCAATAATAAGAGTATTCCTAATTATTATTTGACATACAGTAGCTGCATGATAATTAAAGGCGTCACATGACTGCACGCTTGAAGCCCCCTTTAGGACGCCCATGCCTTGCCATGGTAACAGCTGCTCAATAAAGCGCACACCCCCTCTCAGAGAATAGCCAAACCCGGCCTCCAGGGGTGATGAATGAGATCGCATGGCCAAATACGGAACACAAATTTGAGATTCAGTTCTTCGTGATTTTAGCCATTCAATCACTGTCTGAGAGTTGGTGAATTGCGGATACACCCACCCACTCACCTACCCACCCACTCACCATTTACTCACCTGCCACCCTTAAAGTTTAAATTTAGGCCAGTGCGAAGTTATACGCTCTGTTCGTTTAGTGTTCGTTTGTCCATAAGGTGTCCGCATCTTCCGTGGCTTGTGTGGATCTGGCTTTAACTGTTTCCATGGAAGATGTAAGGTCGGGTAGCCTTGTGGTAGAGTCGTTCGCCCGATGTTTGTGGTAGTGCATTCGCCACCTGTTCCAGAGGTTCTCGGTTCGAATCCAGTGACCGCCGTGATTAATACTGGGCGGTGAATGACCATAGTGATACGTGTCGTCTTGAGTCACAGTCGAGGTTAAAGAATCAATTGTCATCGCAAGAGTAGGCCACTGTCTGCCAGTATCATGGTAAAAATTTGCCAAACTTGCAAATTATTTACTGTAATTAGAATATACAGATTTAAAAAAAACTTGGCAGGACCCTCCTGAAATGTTAACAGACTCAATGAGGCTTTTTTGAGTAAACAGTCGTAATAATAATTAACATAAAAACCTTCCCCATGGCTTTGTTCTATGTGCACTCTCACATGAAACAAAAAAACATTTACTTAAAATCAACTGAAAAAGAGTGTGCGGGCACATTGTGGGGTTTTTTCCGAGTAAAGTCCATCCAGATAAAGTGTGAGTAATTAAGGAAGACGTTCCATATGTCACATTTGAAGAAGTGAAAACTGCATCTTCGCAATATGAAAAAAAAGAAACCAGATGGAATAACTTTGGACATTTTCAAAGAAGCAGGACCAGTTGTTGAACCAAAATTAGTAGATTGATTTTACAAATATAAATAGAATTGAAAACTCAATTGTGGAATGATGTGTTAAGTATAATTGAAAAAAATATATACAAAACTGATTTGAAGAATTACAGACCCAGACACTTTTACAAATTTTTCTCCAATCCGAGGGAAAATCAAACCACGATATTCTGGCCTCACAACACACATGAATCTCACTCGAGGCTAAGCAGAGCCTCGGATATTAACATTGATCATATGAATCATCATGGTGCCTTTGGCTTTCTGAGCCTAATGTTTACCATGAACGTTGTGGCGACAAGTCACCGCTTTATTCATACAGACGCGTGGCCTCCGTGGCGCACTCTGGCAGCCCGCTGAGTCAGTGGCTGTCACAATGACCTCGCGGAGCGACGCGTTGACACAACACACGACAAAGCCCTCCAGTGACATCACTGCACTCCCCCACCACCATCACCACCACCACCATCACCACCACAACTCTCCATGCTCAACCACGCCTCCACTTCCCACCAGCAAGGACATTGTTACCCCCCCCCCCCTACATTTGCAGCCATCACACCGCCCCAATACATGCCCCATAGCTTCTACGAACTCACCTCCCACCCACCCACCCCATTATTCGTGAGCTGACAGTCAAGGGAAGTCATTAATTGGAAACGTTCACTGCGGCTCAGTTTGTCTCAGGGTCTTCTTGGTTGTCACTGCCACTAAAGGTGAGTGTGTGCGCACAACAGACGTGATGTTACCGTGAGAAAGGGTCGTCCATCGAAACGTCGGTTTTTATTGTAAAAGGCATTACAGCGATACGGAATTGAATTCAAACGCACGCATTTTAACCTAGTACACGACCCCCTTACCGTTTCAGCAGTTTGATTTATTAAAATCATTATTTGTAAAAAAAAAAGTGCTTACGTAAAGAATAAATCAGTGTAAGAATTGAGCGTCTTTGTGTGTACGTCTTAAATAGGTTTTCGCTAACAGAACTCACCCAAAAAGCCTTGATAAGCTACATGGGGGACCTTTCTTTTTGTATACTGCATACTTATTTCCGAGCAAATTTGGAAGTGTTTGTGAAACGTGTATAAGTGTGTTTGTTGTCGTTATTGTTGCTATGATAATAAAGACATAATTAGGCGGTTAGCAAACTGGGTCTGTCATTGGCATAATTTGTGTTACAAGTGCTGTTTTCCTGTGCGTTCATGCTTTTTAGCAAATAGTGACAAAGCATCCGATTAAACAATCTACGAATAACAGCATTGTCTAGAAAGAGTATCTCGGAATAAATAAATCAATGGCACGTTATTTATTAACAGCAACTATGTTTTTATTCCTCTAAGTAATTACATCATACCACATTTTCCATATTATAAGACGCACTCCTCCCCCCCCCCCCCTGGGATTTAAAGTAATCTTTGGGACTGTGCCTTATAATCCGGTATCTGTATCTGTGTGTGTGTCTGACCAGATATTCAAAGCTTAATCAATCCGGTGGAAACGCGTTAACGATATTCACAGGGACTAATGTTGTGTCTGATTTAGAATGTCGCAACAACAACAAAAACCGATACATGTTAACAAAATAATTGATATATTAACTACCAGGCGTAAAATAGCCATAAGCATCGTTATGGAGAGCACAAGTAATAACAGAGATAAGCAAACACCATATGTCCTTCATATTGATATCTCCCCCACGTAAAAAATTATAGTATTTGTTAAGAAACCCATCGGCCCCATAGCCCTTTGGCAGCGAATATAATTACAATTTGAGGACCATTGATTCATGGGAAGCCATGGACCGGTTTAGATCTTCAACTCCTCATCAGCAGAGTCAAGCTTGTTTCAATCAATGCTGATGAACCACCAGATGAACCACCAGATTTTATAGTTATAAGCAAGGGCCCTCTCTCTATAAGATATGGGTCCCAGTTTGACACATGTGGCAAACATAGAGATATGGGTCCCCGCTTGACACATAACTCAAGTGTTAATGTGGCGAACATAGAGATATGCAGGCAATATATTTCCTACATTTATTTGTTTCTCAGTTCCATATAAAATAAACATTTTACACGGCTACCCGATGCACGTTACAGACGTTTACAATGCGGTGCGGGTGTTTTTATTTGTTTTGTTAAAATTGTTTAAACTTGATCTGAAGCTTTCGTGATTGCAGGAATTACTCTTTGGTTCTTTCGGTAAAGTCACGTAGAAAGAAACATAAATTAAATAATAGCATACGACGTTTCGATTGCAACACAAGCAATCATCATCAGGTACGAATGAATGAGAAAAAACAAACCTAGTAAACTTAGAAATATAACGCAATACAACACAGAGAGTCGGCTAACACAACAGTAAACACCCTCCCTGACTGATTAACGTTCTTCCAAAGATTGCTACATTTGAGAGAGAGACAAAACACAGACACGGAGACACACAGAGAAAGACACATAAGCAGAGAGAGACACACACAGAGAGAGACACGCACATAGACACACAGAGAAACATTAAAATGGTTTGTTGACAGGGCATGTTATAGCAGGCGCCTCAAGTTAGCAAGTTTGCTTAAGTTAATCGTCGCCAGGGCAACTGTGTCAACTTATAAGGAAGGGGGAGGTGGTCGTGGAACAAACAAAGATTAGGGCGCTCACAACAACCACCACCACTACCACCACCACCGGTTGTTGTTTGGCGTACGGATGTAGCCTCGTTTATAAGGCGACCGGCGATTTAAAAAGTGCGTATCCGTGAGTTTGACTCCGTTACTTTATCGGGAACGAAACACGAAACCCAACCGGGTTTGGGTTTGAGGTTCGGTGGTTCTGCCAGAACCACCTTCGCCGTGAACTTGACCGCAAAGCTTCGTGCGTTCGACTATTGGGGGACAAATCCTCACCCCCGCCGCCACCAACTCCCTGCTGGGTGTGAAATACCATCGTGCCGTAAGTTACAACGATGCGCAACTACACGAACATCACCGTACGCGCCTCTTAAGTGTGCGTCTGTGCGTACGGAGATTGTTACGTGCATCGACGCGCGTGTGTGAGTGTATGTGTGTGGGTGTGTGTGTGTATGTGTGTGTATGTGGGGATGTGTATGTGTGTGTATGTGGGGTGTGTGTGTATGTGTGGGTGTGTATGTGGGGGAGTGTGTGTGGGTGTGTGTGTATGTGGGGGTGGGTGTGTATGTGGGGGTGTGTGTGTATGTGGGGAGCGGTAGTGTAGCGGTTAGCGCGCTGCGCTATGAACCTGGCGACCCAGGTTCGATTCCCGCTCACGGCTAACACCAGTGACGATTATCTGAACCGGTCCTGGGCCTCCCCTAGGTCGACTCAGCCTTAAATGAGTACCTGGTGCGGTGTGTAAACATCGCCACTAGGGAGACAAAGGCGGTCGGGCGTGGTGCTGGCCACCCACCCCCTCGTGTACCGTTCCGGCCTTCATAGGTGCTCGCTAACAGCACTTGCCCCTACAGTCTGTTCAGGCTATACGGGGGATCTTTGTATGTGGGTGTGTATGTACCTCCACTCCGGTGGTGGGTGTACACCCAGGATCCCATTCCAACCAAAAGTGGCCTGGTCTCAGTTAGCTGATGAAAGTTGCAAGCGAGAATTTCATCATCGCTTGCAGCTGGGGTTGGCATCGTCCCCCACTCCACCTGATGTCGAGGGTAAATGGGCGAGGTTTAAGACTGTGACTCATGCAGCTGCAATGGCTGCTTTGGGTACGCGGTCCAGACCTCCCCAGAAACCCTGGCTGACAGAGGAGGTGTTCAGGTTAATTGAGAAAAAGCGACAGGCCCACTCTCATCGCCTACAGCATCCCACGTCAGAGAATGAGGAGGTTTACCGCAGCCTTCGCTCGGAAGTTCGGAGAGCCGTAAGGCGTTGTAAGGATGGGTGGTGGTCGCGGGTTGCTGAGGAGATGGAGTCTGCCTCAGTGGCCCGTGATCACAAATCACTATTTAACTCCATCAAAAAAGTAACCTGCAGCGCCACACCTATTACCATCATTAGAGGAAAAAACGGTGATCCAATCTCCGACCCCCAGGAACAGGTTTGCAGATTTTCTGAGCATTTCTGTGAGGTCCTGGGGGAGGGAAATTCTCTCAGCCAGGAAAACATCATGGCACAAAGTGGGGATAACCCTGCTGAGGCTGCGGTGCCTCAAATATTGGAAGAGGTCACCCCCTGTGAGTGGCTGGCTGAGGTTCCAGCTGTTGAGGAAGTACTGAGGGCGATCCGGAGTCTGAGACCAGGGAAGGCACCGGGCAGAGATGATCTCCCAAGCGAAATGCTGAGGGAGGGTGGCGTTTGTGCACAGACTGCCCTATATGACATCATAACAACAGTCTGGACCACTGGACGGGTTCCGCAGGACTGGAAGGATGCCCTGGTGGTCCCCCTCTTTAAGAAGGGGGACCGCACAGACTGTAACAACTACAGGGGCATCTCACTCCTCAGTGTGCCGGGTAAGGTCCTGGCAAGGATTATTCAACATCGCCTTGCTAGGCACGCTGAGGAGGGGCTTGCGGAGCCCCAATGCGGTTTCAGGAAAGGGCGGTCCTGCACAGATGCCATATTTTCTGTCCGTCTGCTACAGCAGAGGTGTAGGGAATTCCAAAAAGACCTACATCTCTGCTTTATTGACCTGGTCAAGGCCTATGATACCATCAGTAGGACTGGACTCTGGGTTGTTCTTCGTGCTTTCGGAGTCCCTGACCCTCTGCTCACGATCATTAAGGACCTTCATGATGGTGAGCGGGCCCGGGTAAAACTACGTGGCCGGGAGTCGGAGCCTTTCCCTGTACACCTTGGGGTGCGACAGGGATGTCCTCTGGCTCCCACATTATTTAACATCTATTTTGACCGCGTAGTTCGTGAAGCCTTCAATAGCTGTACCGGGGGAATTTCCGTTTGGTACAGATATAATGGGAGGCTGATCGACGCCCGGGTGCGATCAAGGGATGGCTCCCTATTGGTCAACCACGTTATGTATGCCGATGATTTGGTAATAGCTGCTCATTCAGAAGAGGAGTTGGAGGCGCTGTTGCTGAGACTGGAGCGTGCCACTAAGAGGTGGGGCCTTACCATCAGCCCCACCAAAACCAAGCACCTGCCTGGGTATTTTGTACCATCGGACACTCCACCCCCACAACTCCCAATTGGTGATGGGGCAGTTGTGGAGAGAGTGGAGAGTTTCCCATACCTGGGCAGTATGCTTATGACCGGCTCCAGTCTATCAGCAGAGGTCTCACTCCGAATCAGTCGAGGGGCAATATCTTTTCATCGGTTGCGTAACGCTGTGTGGAAGCTACCTGGTCTGTCGCTCCGCACGAAGCTTCAGGTCTTCTCGGCCACGGTCATTCCCTCCCTTCTCTACGCTTGCGAGACGTGGACCCCCCTGGTGGAGCATCTTCGCCGGTTGGAAACATTTAGGCTGGCCTGCCTACGATCCATCCTGGGTTTAACCAGGCTGGATTGTGTGAGGAGCTCACAAATCCTTGAAAGATCTGGGCAAAGTCCCATCAGTGAGCTCCTCCGGCAGGCAAGGCTGCGTTGGCTGGGTCATGTAGCCCGCATGCCCAGCCACCGCATGCCTAAACAGCTTTTGTTCGGCCGGATCGAGGGGGCTAGACGGGCGCGGCACGGGCTGGAGAAGAGATGGAGTGATGTGGTACAGGAGGACGTGGAGCTGAGTGGACTTGCCGATGACTGGTACCAGCGGTGTCAAGATCGGCCTCAGTGGAGGAGGCTCGTGAAGGACGCTACTGGGCAGTTGGAGGCAGTCGCCCTCCAACAACAACGGAGGGCGGAGGAGCGACGCTCACAACAACGAGCGGAGCGCCGGGTGGCTAAAGCACAGCAAGTTGGCACAGTAGGGGGCACAGGTGGTGCATCAGCCAGTCATCTCGGTCATCTCGGTCAGTCGACCAGTGGCACCTGGGTCTGCCCCGTGACCTCCTGCCAGCGGGCTTTCGACACTTCACGTGGCCTCAAGGTGCACTTGGCCTGGCACAAGCATCGTGGTGACGTCACCGCCACTTAGTGGCGAATGGCGGTTGTTGTTGTATGTACCTCCTCGCGGTGCCGGACGGGCAACACTGTCGTGGGCAGTGCTGTGGGGGGAGGGCCAATGCCCATTGGCCTCTCCCCTCATGGCGTCTGTAACCACCACAGTGGCTAAACGGGGGCTCTGGACGGGTGTGAGGGGCTGGTAACCCCTCCACCTTCAATTCATTACCACTAAACCACGAATTAAACATAAACCTGTAACAAATAAGCTTGTGCCGGAGGCCCCGGGGGGTCAGGCTTTTATGACGTCTCCTGGCCAAACCCCATTTGGCGGAGCCAGGAGATTGAATTTTCACCCTCGGGGCTCCTCCAGAAACAACAAAAAACCATTGCGGATGGCCACGTGGAATGTTCGAACGCTCACTGCGGAGGAGAGGCTGCCACTCCTCTGTCGGGAGCTGGACCGGTACCGCCTGGATCTCTGTGGCATTCAGGAGGTCCGGTGGACCGGTTCTGGCTCCTGCCACCATGAGGGGTGGACAGTCCTCTACTCGGGGCAGGAGACTGCCAAACAACAGGGTGTGGCTCTTCTTCTGAACAAAAGAATGAAGGGGGCGTGGGAGCGTGGCGGTGAGGTGTGGGAAGCTGTAAGCCCCAGGATACTTTGGGCTCGCCTTCCCATCAACCAGAGGCGAGGAGTGGTGGTCGTGGTTACTTATGCCCCCACCGAAGACGAACATCCGTGGAGGGATGCAAGCAAAGCCGATGAGTCAGACGCTTTCTATGACCTCCTGTCACAGGTGCTGGCTAAAGTGGCCACTCGGGACAGAGTCATCTTGTTGGGTGACTTCAATGCCCGAGTTGGTCATGATGCTGACACCTGGTCTGGAGTGATTGGAAGGCATGGGCCAGATCAGCTCAATAATAACGGTGGGAGGCTGCTAGATTTTTGTGCAGCCCATGGGCTTGTAATTACCAACACGCTCTTCCGGCATCGGCGCATCCACACAACATCATGGATACATGCCGGGTCCAAGCAAGAACATCTGCTGGACTACATAGTGACGGACCAGCGGATGCGAACCCATGTCCTTGACACCAGGACCTACCGTGGAGCTGATCTGTCCTCTGACCATCGACTAGTCATCTGTAAGATGCGCCTGCCTTTCTTCCACTCCGGTGGTGGGTGTACACCCAGGATCCCATTCCAACCAAAAGTGGCCTGGTCTCAGTTAGCTGATGAAAGTTGCAAGCGAGAATTTCATCATCGCTTGCAGCTGGGGTTGGCATCGTCCCCCACTCCACCTGATGTCGAGGGTAAATGGGCGAGGTTTAAGACTGTGACTCATGCAGCTGCAATGGCTGCTTTGGGTACGCGGTCCAGACCTCCCCAGAAACCCTGGCTGACAGAGGAGGTGTTCAGGTTAATTGAGAAAAAGCGACAGGCCCACTCTCATCGCCTACAGCATCCCACGTCAGAGAATGAGGAGGTTTACCGCAGCCTTCGCTCGGAAGTTCGGAGAGCCGTAAGGCGTTGTAAGGATGGGTGGTGGTCGCGGGTTGCTGAGGAGATGGAGTCTGCCTCAGTGGCCCGTGATCACAAATCACTATTTAACTCCATCAAAAAAGTAACCTGCAGCGCCACACCTATTACCATCATTAGAGGAAAAAACGGTGATCCAATCTCCGACCCCCAGGAACAGGTTTGCAGATTTGCTGAGCATTTCTGTGAGGTCCTGGGGGAGGGAAATTCTCTCAGCCAGGAAAACATCATGGCACAAAGTGGGGATAACCCTGCTGAGGCTGCGGTGCCTCAAATATTGGAAGAGGTCACCCCCTGTGAGTGGCTGGCTGAGGTTCCAGCTGTTGAGGAAGTACTGAGGGCGATCCGGAGTCTGAGACCAGGGAAGGCACCGGGCAGAGATGATC